GACCACTACTAGGACTAGCTCTGCTTCTCCTCCATAAAGTGAGGATCCTTGTTCCCCTCCAATCACTTTAGTCTAACGGTGTATGTCCTGGGAGGCAGGCAGAGCACAATGGCGAAAGCTGTGTGCTCTGGTCTCAGGTTGCTCACGTCTGAATCATGGCTCCATCTGTCAACTGTGTGCTTTGGGTGAGTTGCCTCTCTGTCTCAGTTTCTGCATCTGTAAAATGGTAATAAACTGTGCAGTATGGTTGGAGATTTAAATATTAAGAACAAGAAGGATTGGCTGTTTCTAAAATACCACTCTTCTATATTCTACAAAATCAGTTTCTCTCCTGTCCGTAACCCTGATTCCACATCAGCCTAAGTCAGTCTCGGACCACGGAGAATAGGATTTAAGAATTAAAACGGACTCACACCCCTTTTCCACAGCTCCAGTGCTTTATTAAGCACTGCATGGACCATCTCATATTGCACAAATGGAAAGCATGATTTCTTAGAGAATTCAACATTTCGAACCTTGTCCTCCAAAACTTTTTAGATCAAATCCATTCTCTCTTTCATGTGTCACCTCTATTCTTGGTCATCCCAATTTCTTATTTAGTTTTACTCTTGATTCTGACCTTAATACCAGTTTGTACCATGTTGCAGATTTTTTGGTACCTTGCCAGCACAGAGCTAAATGCTATTCCTATGTTAATTCAAATAAGACTGAGGGAAAATATACACATGCAGAGTGAGGTGCGAGGCATCCATGTCTCAGCTAGCAGTAAAATGAGCCACAAATGAGATGGAAAAATACAAGCTGAGGAGGCTGAGTGTCCTTGTCCTTCAGGGTAGGAAGGGGCAAAAAACAGGCACAACCTTAACTCCAGCTGAGCTCCTAAGAAGTTGAAAACCCTCCTTATGCCTGTAGACCTTGGTTTACAGCCCTTAATCCTGGGAGAGTTTGCATATTTGAGCTACATATAACTTGTTCTTCTCCAGCCATTGCCATAGTGGTCAGGAGCCCTTGGAACTCTAATGCATGTAGAATCACTGGGCCCCTTGCTGAAGAAGCAGATACTCGGGCCCCATCTCAAACTGATTAATTTGGTCTAAAGTGATTTGCCTAAGAATCTTTATTTCCAACAAGCTTTCATAAATGATTCTGTTGTAGGTGTTTTCTGAATAATGAGAAATATTTTCTAAGAAGGGAGCAATACTATTTTTTTTTTCCTTTTTGTCTTTTTTCGTGACCGGCAACGGATCGCAACCCTCA